GGCGGGCAGCGGACGGCGGGCAGCGGGCGGTGGGCGGCGGGCAGTGGACGTTGGGTAGTGCACGGTGGCCGGCGGCAAAAGCGCAATGGAGAAGGCCATGTGAACATGGTCCTCCGCGCCTCGCCTCGCCTCGCGGAGAAGGGATGTCGTCCCGTAAATTCGCGGGCCGCTCCGAGATGTTGGACTGCTAGCCTTTAACATTTGGAGACAGGGTTCTTATCAGTCCTACTTACGCTCGCATGCACTACTCATCCACGGCGACCGGTCGGGAGCTTAGATCTTGTCCCGACCAGGGCAATACCCCGCTAGGGAAAGTTCCAGGAAATGTTTTAAGATTAGAAAAGTAATGTAACACTTATTACCACAGAAACGCTAATTTTACGAATTTGCTACAGATATACTTCATAGAATATGAAATTCCGTACCTTCCGAATGCAAATTCTCGAGTGTAGATCGTTTGGAAAAGAAAAAGAAAACATTGTTGTCCAAGGTTGCTTAACTATTAAACCTTCCAGGTTTTGAAGTATCCAATTTCTCAATTGTATGTTAAACCATTAACAGTATTAAGCTCATTCGTGTGTATAGAATTAGTCACCGAAAATGAATATTTAAATTCTTTTGTTCTCACGTTTCAAGAAGCTTCCAGTGGTAAAATCGGTGAATAATACAGTTCCATCGGTTAATCTACCTTTATGGAATTCATACTGACATCGAATATTGTTTTCGACTTCTTGAATGTCATTTACGTTTAATACTTTATTTATTGTATTTCTTTGTAATTAATTTGTTATTTTTCACATGATATAAATCACATAATATAACAATATATTACCAAACCAAATCAAGAGTAGGATAACTCAAATGTAGAAACACCCCCAAAGGAATTAGTACGTGTTAAACTACAAGCGATTTTTCGGAGAGAAGCTACAAATTTAAGTATTGTATTTAATGTTTTCTAATATGAACACATTTAATAACTTATAATAAAACGTAATATTGTATACATTTGAAATAAAAGTTAAACAATATATTTTACTATTCATTTTGAAGGTCGGGAGGGCGGCACATAGTCTTCCCCATTGGATCAGCCCCTGTATTTTAGATGGCATTTTATGGGCCCAACTGGTCAATTATGGGCACGTTGTGTTCTACGAAGGAAAGTAGCGATGCAAGTTGTTGCAGTTATGGACTTGTGATAGTTCCATTGCAGTGTAAATGTTAGTTACTGTCGGTATTAATACTGTCGCATCGGCAAAATAACGGTATGTAATCTCAAACTGTAACATTAGCATCAACAGTTCTAGATTCCTCGTACCCGTTACGAATAAAAACGGATTGTTATCACGATACACTCTGCATCAGTATCGCCCTTATAATAATTTACATTGTCTGAAGAACAGTCATCTAGAGAAGCGTCTTCAGAAACCGATGACTAAGATAGTGAAAACCAATACAATTGTAGGAGGCACTCATTTACAGTTCTACCAGTAATGAAAGATAACACGTAATCCTGCAAGCATACCCCATCAAGAACGGAATACAAGACAGTTTGCATGTCCGGTTTTGCACAACTGCATCCATTGATGACTCGTGACTGCAAAATGTCATGGATCACAAAATTAGGCTGGAGTAGTTCTTAAAAATGGAGACTAGTCAGTTGCCTCCGACAATGAAGTTTGGAGTACGGGTCTGTGCAAATCTATGCTCTGTAGTTCAGACCTGCCCAATGATTTGGATTTAGGGCACTGTGGCCTGAAAAATACTCGGTGCACAGTAGGGGCATCTTCCTCCCCTGGCTTCTACCACAGCGGAAGGTCACTCACAGCTCAAAGCTACTTGGAAACCTTTGATTCAATGATTTCCAAAGATAATCATCAATGTTGGAATTCATCTCGGACTTCGTTTTCTTGTGCCGTGTTCTGTGAATACTTATATATCCACTCTTTTTCCTTTTTTCTATTTATGCAATACACGGACATTCTCATTGAAGGTATATTTTTCGTATTGTCTTATCCCACATATACGTTATGTATAGTTTTTTTAGTTTTAGGCGTTCAATTAATAAATAATTACTTTGAAATCTTGGAATTTTCAATTAGCCTAATCCAACCTGCAAATCAGTGAAATCAACATCAATATTTAATATTCGTTTGTATTCCATTTTAAAGAACAGCAAAAGCATTTTCTAGTAATGCAATTATTTGTGCAGTCAATTAAAATGGCTGTATTGCAAGCTAACGCTTTTTTTTCATTCTGCTCGCTAGGGCAGCGCCTGGAATGAGTGGCTAGTTGGCGTCGTCGGTTATCTTGGACATATAGCTGTTCAGGAGGGGGAGGGGGGTTACTACGTAAACGTCGATGAGCGATCTCTCCTGCCCTGACTGGCCTGTTAAAATCAATAAGATACGGTGATAGTAATAGATAAATTTCGGTAAATTCGATTTCGGAATTCACGTTCCGCGTAATGACAATATCATCCAATGGCATCCCTGTCAATAAACGGCCAAAAATGTACTTTTCAATTATCAAACACAACCTGTTGTATTCCTGAGGTGTGTTGGTATTGATCTGAAAGAGTTTTGAAACCTTTTATAATTTGTTCTTATTTTCTGTTGTTCATGTCATATATTGAGATTTGTTTCGTTTATGTACGGATTCATTGTTGTTTCTCAATTTAGTTCGTTTAACAATCCAGTTTGTCATTCTCTTCGCAATCTCCTTTTCTGTGCACCCTCTTTTTTTGTGAGGGAGGGTTTGAACGTTACAAAAATCATAGTATCTCGTGTTTGTGCTTCATTTATCATTTGAATCAAAATTAAAGGGAGAAGAGCAAGGATCATGCTATAGAGGAATCGTCCCTACTGGTTCACCGAAGTGGATGCCATGGAGTTTGCAAGTGAAAATAAAAATCTCTTATTACAACAATCTACTCGTATTTACTGCTCTATTTGGACCAATCACACAAAGCAAGCAGAAAAAAAGAGCGGTTATAAGAAAATTCGATTGTTAAATAGAACCATTTTTGGCTGGAACAATTAACAGGCGTAGGTGCAAGTGACTCCTTGCAGAGGCCCGCACGTTATGTGTTCCAGAGGTCTGAAGAGGGTAAGTGTAGAGTCAGTGATGTGCAATGAGAATTCTCCGGAAAAGAAAGGCCAACATAAATGCGGCATAGTGCGGTACAAATAGAGTTACCAGTTACTTCTCAATTTTCTTGTAAATGAAGGAGATTCACTCCAAGTATTCTCAAAGTTGTCTTCCTTCCCTTCCCTCTCGTACGATTACTCGTACTAATTTTCTTTCATTAACATCCATCAGTTGCCCACCCAAGAGGGAGGTATCATAAGACATCAACCCCTCCCAGAAGCCAATGTCACATATTCAGAAATATAATGTTTACTGTCTATTGCAACGTAAGCCCCTCAATATTCCAACTGAATAATTATAAACCAATAAATTAAATAAAATTTAAATTCATCTCAGTTTAAATGTTCTTTATAAGAAAACAAGCTCTGCGTCGCCTCGAATCGACAATATGCCTTCAGCCCCATGGCTGGAAAAATTCCGGTTGCGCCACCACTATTACCATCTACTCGCACATCACATTCGTGCTACACATCACCCGCAGCTCCGTCTACCTCGACCGCAAATTCGCGTGAGCAACGCACAACCTTTCCGGCAGCTCAAACCTTCCTCTCCGCTCCCGCACCGACCAACGCGGAGTGTTTATTGGGGCGCCAATATTTGCACCACGTGCCTCTCCTGCCTACCGCGAAGTAGTTTTCCATCTCTTCGTTCAGGCTTTCGAATCATTATTACTCCGAATGGCGTTTTGCGTTGCAAAATCGCGTTCGCAGCAGGGGTTTTCAGTGGTATCTATTATTTCTTTACTCTCTTCCGATCCATCCGTATCTGTGACGTCATTAACTCATCCTTTTACTCGCCGCCTCTCGTCTGGGCTTGAGCCACATGTACGCTTCTCGACGCGAAATTCCCTGGTGGGTCCGGTGGCCCGCCACGCTGTCCTCCTCCCCGCCTCATCCCCTGTCTGTCCCATGCCTTTCCTGCGCCTCAACCATTGCGTGTCCCCTGTCCCGTTCCGACACGTCCGTCTCGGACCCTACCCGGTCCCGCCGCCTCTCGCTTCGTCCACCACATCCCTGCGTCATCTGCCATCTCGTCCCCCATCCCGTCCCCATCCCGTCCCCCCATCCCGTCCCCCATCCCGTCCCCCATCCCGTCCCCCATCCCGTCCCCCATCCCGTCCCCCATCCCGCCCCATCCCGTCCCCCATTTTGTCCTCCATCCCGTCGTCCCTTGCCCGTCGTCCATCCCGCCCCCGTCCCGTCCAATGCCCCGTCCAACCCATTTTCCTGTCCCGTCCTTTGCCCTGAGCCTCGCGCCCGTCCACCGCCCGCTGCCGGCCAAGGGAATATTTGCATCATCTGCGGCGGGGGCGGCGGGGCAGGCGGGCTGACGCCCGGGGCGCAGGCGAGCGCAGCGGAGCACAGAAGCGCAGCCGAGCGCCGCGCGCGCAGCGTTACGCCCCCGCATTGATCGCGTCAAAGCCTCGCTGCATTAACGTTATTTCGCCAAATTGCGCGGCGGCAAAGCCCTCGGCGCGGGCGGGCGCGGCGGAGCGAGGGGCGCGGGGGGGAGCGCGGACGGCGCGCACGCCCTCCGCACAAACGCTCGCGAGAGCGCGAGGGCAACGGCTGCCCGCGGAACCGTTCACGAGGGCACGGTTCCGAAATTAAACAATACGCAGTTTTAATCATTGAAAATGAATCACGTCAATTTCCTTTTTTAAATACGATATATTATGTAATCATAAAGAAGTATACTTTTTAAATGAAGAATACAATCAACGAAGATCAATTACTCTGCAAATTTTGCATAATAATAATAATAATAATAATAATAATAATAATAATAAAATAATAATAATAATATAATAATAATAATAATAATAATAATAATAATGTCTTCATTAATGGCGAGGCTCAGGCCATAGGGCCTTCTCTTCCGCCTAACCACTGAATTTACATACATTTTGCATGGTACAAAAGCAACTATAAATCGTTCAATTTACAAAAAAATTTAAAAAAGTCTGAATTGAAAGTCGGTACCAAAGTCAAAAATATAAATTATCGAAAATGTGATGCTTTATTATTTTATTATCAATAATATTAAAACAAGAATATTATCTTTTGAAGCATATTAATAAAATATTTTTAAATGGACGTACGTTAATGGTGTACGTTTTACGGAGGGGGCTTGACCAGTGTTTGGTGCCCACTCGCGGAGCGCAGGTGATCACGTTATCCATCATTAAAATTTGTAGCAAGTGAAATCCGAATATTTCTTCAAACATTAGGAAGCTGGTTCTCAAAATGGAAGATAAAAATCAATTCCACCGATTCACATTCAAACCTTACTCAACTCCCATCCAATTAAGAATAGTTAATAGTATCATTTCATGGACAAGTGTTGAAGAATCAGTCTTGAACTTCCGCGTAGAAACTTAGAATCAACGTGAAGAAGTTTTTGTGCATATTTTAAATTTTTCCTTCTTAATATATCAATTTAGTATACGTCAAATATTTCAGATCGTTCAAATATATCAATTATTGTTATAAGCTCTCTACAAATTATACCCATTGACAGTTAAAATTAATCTAATGGATTTTTTTGTTGCACTTTTTTGCAGCCTGCTGGCAGAAACATTAATTTAAATGCATCGCAATGAAAGATATTTATACATTAATGCTATATACATATTTTAAAATTAATAATAAAATAATTCTACTTGTTTATGGCTGTCTTATATAATTATTATAAATTTAAAATGACTGATGTTCTAATTCCTCAGCATACCACTCCACTTCCCAGCACTATACTTCACTTCATTGCATTAATATTTCTCAATTCACACTTCACAAAACGATGCAAACCTTTAATACAAGTACATTAATAACAAATTATGTAATGCAAAATAATATTTGTAAACGAAAGGTTGGGTTATATATATATTCTTTGTGGACAGATTGAAGCTTTATCTTTTAATTTATCCTGACGAACTCAGAGTATATAAAAGTATCTAAAGGAAATACCAAAATAAAGAATGTAAAATAATAGTAACAATAATAGTTATTTTTATAAGCATGTTAACAAAATATAATATTAATTATTAGCTGATTCTTTTTTAAACCAAGTGCAAAGGATCCAAAGGTTGTCGCAAACAAGAATATTAATATATAATAATTAAGTATAATCTAGTGTGTATTAAGTTATATTAAGTATAATCTGGTGTGTCGTGGGGGTTAATACCGAGGTTCTCAGTTTTGCGCGAACGAGCGAGTTTCAATGGTTATATCTCCGTAACAATTTGGCATTGTCTGCTCCAATATCTTACATTTTGTCAAGCTTTGTCTTTTTGTCAAATGGTTATCAAACATAACATTATTTCGAAAAAACGCAATTTAACTTTGTATAAAACCTGGTTTTCATTCTATTTTGTACTTTGAACATAAAGCACCACCATGGACGTGGGAAGAGAGGATTCCTAACAACTTCTAACCCTAAGCAGATACATATTTGCGGTATTAAAAGTACAAATGGTAAAAAAAATATTTGTGCTGGAAAAAGCCAAAGTTACATTTACCGCAGCATTCCTCAGCTGTAGTTTGGTTTACGAACGTCGATATTTCGAAGGGGGGGGGAAGGGTTGGCATTTTTTCAACAGAGGTTGATTTCAGCAGTTGTCAGTCGGAAGAGCTGTCTATCAGCAGAGATGGCCGTCGATACAGTTGGCTTCGGACAGAGTTGACTGTGGAGGGAGTTGGCTGTGGATAGCTGGCTGCGGGCAGAGTTGACCGTGGCGAAGTAAATAAAAACAGAAGCGACAACCCTTCTCTCCCCAATCCCCCCCTCCCCAATTGTCCGTTCCAACGGAGCGGCTAACCAGCGTTTGTGTGGCGTTCCAGATTCGGCGGCGGCGGCGGCAGCGGCCGGGCTGGCGCGGCGCGCGTGCGGGCGGGCGCGGCCGGCGGCGGGGCCGGCGGCGGCCGCGCGTCCGTGGCGGCGGCGTTGGGCGGGCGGCGGCGCGGGCGGGCGGCGCGGGCGTGGGCGCGGGCGATCGCGCCGCCGACGTGTGCGAGGGCTGCGGCCAGAAGATCCACGACCGCTTCCTGATGCGCGTGGCCGACGGCAGCTGGCACGAGCACTGCCTGGCGTGCAGCGAGTGCGGCGTGCTGCTGTCGCGCTCTTGCTACTGCCGCAACGCCAAGCTCTACTGCAAGGCCGACTACGACCGGTAGGTGGCTTTGATGCGTCTCTGTGTGGACGCGCTCTGCGGCGCAGGTGGCCCAGGTTCGATGCCTTCTTCAACATTTTTTTCGCATTAATTGTTCACAGTAGGGGATCTTTTAGTTTCCTACATCACGAGTATTGCAGTTAAATGTTAAGTTAGTATATATTATAGTGTATCCCATCACAACACGTGATAGAGTACTATGTTACTGGACAGTGTAATTATCATTATGCGTTTACTTTTTGGCAAACCTACGAGATATATTCACTTCTAGTACATCGGTGGTTTTTAGATAGTACACGTTATAATTTTCTAGTTTGCTTACATATTTATGACTAAACATTTGACATATTTTTGTTCTTTCCTTTGTACTCTAAACTCATATTAGATCCCATTATTTCTAATGTGCAAAAGAGCTCTTACTGCATTATAACTCTTATAATTCCAGAATGGAATCTCTAAATAATATTTTTTATTTGACCTGTGATTTGAACCCCCGAACTGAAGAAAGGAAGTACGAAAGTCTTCAAGAATGACATGAATTACTAATTTATATGATGCAGTCACCATGTATTTTCGTCCTCATAACCAGTAAATTTTTCTAGTTTTTTTGGAACACCTTACTTTTATATATTGTGTGGTTTTCACGATAGTTCTGTAAGTATAGACTAGGAATTTCAGAGTGGTTCCTTTAGGTAACGACACGGTTGGACCGTAGGATAAGATCCATCATTAAAGTGATTTACTTTAATTATAATATGTTCACTTCTAAGGTGGTCACTTTCACTTTTCTTTCATTTTCATTCACTTTTCAAATGGTCCAGTAGGTGGCGTGGAGGCTTATGCTCAGACACAAGGTCATTTAGCCGGCATCATAATACGAAATCTATCAAAAAACACATTTTTCTACGATACCAATTTACTCTACTACTACAGCACAATACTATACTCTATCTATAACGCATCTTGGAGGGTGAGTGTGTAACCTACTGATTTCTCTTCCGTCAGTACACGAGTTCGACGCAGCCTGCGTTTCGTGGATTTTCGAACGGCGAAAATGCATCGTGGTCGTGTACTTGCGGCATGTATTAAAAAAAAAAGCTCCTGGAAAAATTAAATTAGCTGACACTTCCCGTCCTCAACAGATCCCATTTTTGCTTAGCCGGGAAACGCCTCAGTAATAGATAAATATTGCTGAGACTATTGTTGTGGCACTCCTTGGCGTGAACTATGCGAGTAAATATTTCCCCCGTACCTTAAAAGCCAATACGGTGCCAACAATTCCCAGTAATTTCATAGGGTTGTCCAGTTTCTTTTAATATTTTTGGTAGTAAAACAACCTTCCCCAACCGTAGACGTCCTGAATCACTTAACAACACTAACCCAGCCCTTCTGAATGTTTTTGGGATTAGGCGAGGGCAATTTCCTTACGTCAACCTTCTGAACTCCTGAAATGTGTACTCTTTTCTTGCATTGATTTTGCAATAGCTGCCCTTATAAACATTTCGTGTTGTACCGGCTTATGTGGCTCAGGACATCAGGTTGATGTCACTGCAGGGCGTCTGACCGAGAGGTCCTTGTGTTAAATCCCGACGGTGGCAGGATTTTCGACACTACCTAAATAGATAGTTCAGCCACTGTCTCGAGGAGAGTTCTCGCGGCCGACTGCTCTAAACGGCACTTTTCCGTGGTTACTCCGCTCAACACCTTGGGAATGCCGGAGCAGAACCCTAGCCAAGGGGCACGGACCGCGCGCGATCTTTCCTTCTCCTTCGTTGTGTTATCTTAAACCTTGACAAACACTTATACTTTCATTCACTACACTACCACACATACTGGAAGACCAGTCATGTGCTTAGAGCTTCTCCCGCCTGGGACGGTGCCTCGCTGGTGGGAGATAACTAGTTTGGGAAATCCCGCTAGCAGACGTGTAGATCGGCGCCGGATATCACCAGCCAGCGGGGGAAGATCTCCGCCCCCTCCCGCTTATAAAACGCGCACTACGCTTCCGGGACTGACAACCTTAGGCCGTTTGCCCACGCCGCCACAGCAGCGCGCGTCGTTCAATCATCAGGGCCCTCCGGCGACGACGGGCAAAGGGACCGAAGCAGGTACCTGCTGCGGTCCCTTTGTCCGTCGTCGCCGGAGGGTCGGCGAAGAGCCCTGATGATTGACCGTCGCGCGCTGCTGCGGCGGCGTGGGCAAGCGGCCTTCACACGCGACGCGGCCGGAATCACCCATCTCGACCAATGGACGTGCGCGGCAGGCGACGGCCGCTGAGCAGGTGCGCCCTCTGCCCGCAGGAAGTTCGGTGCCAAGTGCTCGCGCTGCGGGGACCGCGTGCTGGCGCAGGAGCTGGTGATGCGGGCGCAGGGGCTGGTGTTCCACCTGCAGTGCTTCGCGTGCGTGGTGTGCTGCCAGCCGCTGCAGAAGGGCGACCAGTTCGTGGTGCACGCGGGCCAGCTCTTCTGCCGGCCCGACTTCGAGAACAAGCTGTACATGCTGCAGGCCAGCCCCGCCGGTGAGCCCAACCTCGCGCACTGCGCCGCAGGCTGCGTTCGCGGGCGAACACGCCCGTACACGTGGTGGGAACACGAGCGTTTGCAACCACGTTGGTTTAGTTTATTGTGCTCACAGGTACTTTCAAACCTGTTAATCCTGTAACCTAATCCTCCCTTCCACGCTTCTACATACCATTTATACAAGTGTCTCAGAAAACATGTTCCAAACTTCTAGAGCCGGTGGGGTGTCGACGATCATTTTCTGTTCCTGAACATATGATGGGGAATTCTGTATAAACAAGTTACACATGTGAAGTTTATCCCGATTGATAGGCGAATCATTTCGCACTAGTTTGGAGGGTAATGATCTGTTGTCCAAGAGATTCGCATACCTGAAGAACTCTAGCGCATCCAACTAGCAGGGGAGACTGTCGCATATGTAACATTGTCTTAAGAAATTTTTCCACGTGTAGATTTGCAGAAAGTGATCAACTTCGATACATTCCCTAGAAGTTTGTAACATTTATCCTCACGCATTCTGTATAAACTCTAAATACTTGTATAACATTCTGTAAGTAGAAAGATTCACATACGTTCCAACTTTCTTTTCAATGATCTTAGATTGGTATTTCCTTCTGGTTGTAAGAAAGTTACTTCACCCATTCGCTGCTAGCGGCACATATTTTAGTCGTGTGAAGTCCGTGCCACAGTGATACGGCTCACATTGGAGTGTATTCGTTTTCCTTAATTGCATCTTACCGCCCAGGCCCGCATCGAAAAATATAAACTAAGACACCTTCCTAAATCCTTTTTAAAAGGTCTCCAGTTGCGTTTTGGATATTGAACCTCTCTGCTTTCAGACCCTCACTTAGAGTACTTCATTGCGTTTCCTTGCGTTAATATTGGAGGTCGCATCTATGTGAAAAATCCCCATTAATCTCGTACAGGGAGAGAGTATTTTTAAAGCATTCGTATGGCTATATGAGGTGGTTGCCATTTTGTAGTTTAAAATTTTTGATTGTCCATTTTCATATGTTTTAAAATCGGGATAAAGATGGGAGCATGTTTTAAGAGATGTAGTTATATTATCGCGTGTCACTGAGCTCTTTAAAATTTTTACAGTATTTTTTGAATGCATTTTTTTCTTGTGTATGTGAATTAAAAGTGCTAAATATGGGCTTTGGTTGATAATATTTTGCACATCAGTAAAGATTTTATTCAAAAAAGGGCGGTAAAAATTAGGTCTGTACACTTGTTATTTAAATCGCCGATTGTCGTACATCAAGTACAAAATCGGATTCACATCTCCACTGAAGTGTGTACCTCTATTTTTTCTCATTTCAAATATGGTAGTGTGAGATCGAATACAATCCAAACATTGCGTAACTACTAACTTATCAATGTGCAGAATGTACCAAAACATAACAGCAAAACTTCAGGAATGGATTCTTCATTTTTAGAGAAGAAATTTGATTACAAAATTATGAGATTGCTATGTGGTACATAGTTCGCAAATTGTGCCTGTATTTCCAATTAACGACCACGTCTTTCTCTGTAGTGAGATTGATCTAATGGTGTCAGGAATTTCGCAATTCAATTCCCGGGTGATCTTGAGAAAGTTTCGCTTGATAGATCTGAAACAGGGTGCGTAAACGCTTGTGAACAAGTTCATTACATTAACGTACAATACGTCAAATCCTGTTTAGATCAATTTTTGAATTGTTTGTTACAGACATGTGTGCCCGCCGTTAAACCCTCATATATTTAATGCATTATTACGCACTCACATATTTAATGCATCTTTACGCACAGGAATATTTCCAGTAATTGTTAAAACAGCTGAGAGTAGACCGCTCTTCAAAATGCAACAAAAATGAAATTCAAAATATAACGCTCAAATTAGCATTTGTCAGTTTTTCTAAAAAATATTAGACACTTTTTTCATCTCCGAATTGAAACCCTTTTCATTAAATACGAAGCGCTTTCGGACTGACATTGATTTAGAAAATTAAAACCTGCGGACACGTCCACATTTTCATTTCTTAAAAATGACGCTTCATCAATAAATCGAATTCGAACACATATTGGAATATTTTTAGTTATTTCAAAAGCGATTATTTGAATTCCGCATTCGAACATTCTCCACTGAGTTCAAGGAAACGTGCATAGAAAGTAAAGTTATACGTATGTTCAGAAGCGTGACAATGAGCCGTCTCAGCACACTTTCAAACCTGATAGTGATGGGGGTCATTAATCCGGAAGCTGAGATACAATTCTTTTTTCAGGCATATATAGTCTTCTAGGAGTATACTGGTGCAAATGGCAACGAATACATGAAATATTGTTAGATTCAGTATTGTTTTCCGTTTTGATGCTCGATATAGACTCTAATTGTTTATAAACAGACATGCAGCACAAAGGATTTCTGTTTATTTAGTGAATTTCAAAAACATTTAAAAATTGTTTGTCAAATACTATGGAGAGAAGTGTATTCTGAGCACGTTTTCTTAAATCTCACCTTCACCAATATACAAGTTGAATTATGACGCAAGCGTTTTTGGTAAGAACTGGTATAGTAATTTACGTAACAAGGGCGCAAACAGGTGATTCACGCACGAGTCGAGTTTGTAGTCCGAGCTATGCTCGTACAGCAAGAGACGAGTGCGGGATTCACCTTGCGCCCGTGTTGCGTTTACTATTTTTTAACACGATATGAGCGAAAAGCATTACGTTAAGTAAAGCAATATAAATTAGATATCAAATAACAAGAAATACTTTACTTGTACAAAAGTTAATGGATTCCAGTCAGTGTCGTAACACTATTGTATGAAAATAATAAACAACAACGTAGTTAGGACGAAAGACAATTGCGAATCGTTACAGATGTTTTAGACACCGTGAAAAAATTAGCCGTTTTGCACACAGAAAACCTCACGAGAAACCGCGTTTCGCGCACGATGCGTTAAACAGAAAATATTCATTCTCATCTAACGAAACACTATTCGCAAAAACAAATCAGCAGTTTTTTAATATTATCACTCAATGAGACCTTCGTTAAGAAATCGACTTTCGACAGCGAGATCATGCAGAACAATAATTTGAATAACTACTCGTGTTTTCCCCACTGGAGGTCTAGAAAACGTGACCAGATAATGAAGTTTCATTTATGGCTGGAGGCAAAACGAGGTGTCATATCAGCATTCATTCAAAGGATCAGGGAAACAGCGAAAAAACCTGATCGAGAGGGGGGGTCATTTTTCCAGATGCTGATGTACAAAACGTGTTACAGGTATATTTAGTATTTGTTGAATTTTATCTGCATACATCTTTTGAAACGAAATGATTACCTGAATTAACAATAGGCTGTATAATTTATACCTCATTGTACGTCAGAGTTTTAACTGCTTTATGATAAATAAAGAAAGTAAATAAGTCGTAAATGTGGCACGAAAGAAATTTTTCGAACAATTTTATTTTATATTAAACTTTCTCTAAAACCATGAGCATTATATATTTAGAGGAACCCAAAGAAAAATGTAACTTCCAAGAAATTATTATTTCATTCTTTTCAAATCATTTTACATACAGAAATGAAATTTCCCTCCACATGCGACATGAGTGTATGTGGAGTACTATAAATTCAGTATCCACCGCGATTTACACACTACCCTGGATGTCCACGTCCTTTGTAGCGCGGTTTGATGTTGGCCTGTGTTTCTAGTCTCACGGTTCTGGCTTAACGCTGCTGGCCTAACGTTACATGCCTGAAATTGCTCGCCAAGCGTTGCATGCCTGATATTACTTGCCTGATGTTACTGACTTGACGTGGTCCTGACCTAAAGTTAATGTTCAGAGTTTGCTGGATATTCGTTGCTGGCCATGCGTTACTGATCTGACGTACCTCGCCTGATGTTTCGTATCTGACGTGGTTTGCCGAACGTTGCATGCTAAATGACGTTGCTGGTCTATCGTTGCTAGCTTGAGGTCGCTAGCGTGACTTCTCTGGTCTTTGAAGTCCCCACTCTCCACCACACACTTCCTTGCCCTTTTGTTCTCCGCTCTGCCCTGCTCTTCGCTATCCTGCCCAACGTGGTGTGCCTCGCCAGCCCATTTCTCCCTTCACCACCCGCCCTGCCTTACACATATGGCGTTGGTGGACTGACGTTCTTGATCTGAAATTTCTCTAATACCGTTGCTGGTCTGGCTTAACTGACCTGATGCTCCTCACCTGACGCTGCAGTTCTGGCGTTGATGAATAGGCGTTGCTGGCTTGACGTTACTACCCTGAAGTTTCTAGCTTGACGCTGCATGTCTCACGTCGCTTGCGGGACGTCTTTGTCCTGACGCTGCATATTCGACGTCTCCCATCTAAACTTTTTCGCCTGACATTGCTTTTCCGAGGCTTCTGGCCTTATGTTGCTGGCTTGAGGTTCCTGGTCCGGCGTTACATATCTGACTGATGATGACCTGATGTACCCGGTTACTGACCTGATGTAGCCGGGTTGAGGTGTCTGAGGTTGCTGGCGTGACGTCTCGGGCCTGCCGCTGCATGTCTGTTGTTGCAGGCCGGACGTCGCCTGCCAGACGACTCTGACCTGATGCTTTCTGGCTCTGACCTGATGCTTTCTGGCTCTGACCTGACCCAATCCTGTTCTGACACTTCTGACCTGACGCTGCATATCTGACGTTGCTGACTTGATGTAGTGACTAAAGGTTGCTGGCATGCGCGTCTGGCCTTCCGCTGCATGCCTGATGTTACTAACCAGACGTCGCTTGCCTGGCGTCTCTGACCTGCCGCTGCATGCCTCATGTTGCTGGCCAGACGTCGCCTGCCTGACGACTCTGACCTGACGTTTCCTGGCTCTGACCAGACCCGATCCTGCTCTGACGCTTCTGACCTGACGCTACATATCCGGCATTGCATAGCTGACGTTGCTGACTTGATGTAGCGACCGAAGGTTGCTGGCATGAGTCTCTGGCATGCCTCATGTTGCTGGCTGGACGTCGCTTGCCTGACGTCTCCGGCCAGCCGCTGCATGGCTGCTGTTGCTGGTAGGACGTCGCTTCTCTTGCTTGACGTCTTCTGCCAGCAGCACGTCTGACACTGCTGGCTTGACGCCCTTGCACGTGCATGCGCCGCGAGGCGGGCGGGGCGGGCGGCGGGGCGTGGCAGGTGTGGCGAGGCGGGCGGGCGGCGTGAGCTGACGGGAGGCGCGCGGCGCGTGGCGCAGGGGACGAGCTGCTGGACGAGAACAGCCGCCGCGCGACGGGCGGCGCGGCCCAAGCGGCCGCGCACCATCCGCACGTCGGCGCAGCGCCGCCAGTTCAAGGCGTCGTTCGAGATCAGCCCAAGCCCTGCCGCAAGGTGCGCGAGGCCCTCGCCAAGGAGACGGCCTGAGCGTGGCGCTGGTGCAGGTGTGGTTCCAAAACAGCGCGCCAAGATGAAGAAGCTGCAGCGCAAGGCCAAGCAGGAGGCCGACCAGAAGTCCGCCGGCGACAGGACAAAGGACGGCAAGGAGGAGAAGGCCATCAAGCAGGAACTGCGACCGCAGATCACAGTAAGTAACCGCGCGGCGAGCGCCGCTCGACCGCCGCTGCTCTGCCTCTCCTGTGTGCGCCCCGCGCTTCCCGCCCTGCTCGCCCTTCCCCACCCCTCCCACCCACCCACCCACCTGCCTTGCCTCGCTCGATCTCGACCCTCGAATTCCAACCCTTATCAGCCACACGCCTCCCCACCCTCTTCTCTCTGTTTTATCCCGCCCCGCTCTGACCCTTTGACCTGTTCCTCTTCGCTCCTCCACTTCCGTCGGCGATCCTCGGGCTCCTGTAGCCGCCTACGTATCCCCCTCCCCCCACGATGGGTACTACGACGCCACTTCTTAGCAGCGCTACCGAAATGCACGTGCGATCAACATGACGTGTCGTATGTCCAGAGGGCAGGGACACAAAAATAGCCAAGATCTGTAATATGCTCCAAACGAGTGGTCTGCAGCAGGACAAATGCTGCTGGAAAAAATCACATAAAATGGTTTTTCAAAAAGTAGCGCACACAGGGCTGGAGATCGATGTATAAAATACTCTAGTATAACACTGCAATAAATTGATTACTTCTTAAAAGAACGGTCTTCCTGAATACTGCTGTAACGTAGGACAGTATATACACAAGTACAACATTTCTTTACTTTCCAAGAATGTAACAAACTTCCTGTTCCATAACCCAATATACGAATAGTAATTAATAATCTCGGGTGGTCTCTTCTTTGGAGCCTTGCTGTCATATGACGTCAGCGATGTCAACACACTGAGTATGAGAGTTCATCCGGTACGTGTAACATGAGAATAGGCGGAAAAACACAATCAAATCTTGTCATTTTCTGTAGAAATCAAAACATGTTTTTTTCCCGAGTTCCGGAGTATCCTAGACTTTATATACACCTCTCACTAGGCCGGAGGCTGCATAGTTTTATTTCCATTTCTGCGCGCATTGGAAATTAATATTACGAATGTTATTAGTAATCCGTACATGTATGGTACACAACTTTAGAAATTATTTTGAAGATGAGTTCCTATCAAAGTCAGATGTTTCGTATAAAGGCTACATGTCATTAATTATTTTTTACTCAAAGTCGTAGACCACTGAAATTGGAACCACGGTAGTAATATCATGTAAAGTCATTTAGATCTACTCGAAGTTGATTCCTGAGTCATATCTTTTTGTCCGTTCGGAGTCATATCTTTTGTCGTCTGCTCATGTTAAGTGAATTAATTTTCGACTTACAGTCTAAAAAGCTTGTAAATAAAACACAAAAATGTTTTGTCCATTCAATTAAGAAAATGTAATCATATTGCGCTCCATGTTACATAAACAGTTCTCACTCGTTATGTCAATACTTCGCTTCTCTAACTCCACTCCAAAAACAAATGTGTAAACTGCTACTATTCTTTGCGTCATACCCCCTGCTTTCTGTCTGCTCTCATTTAACGTAGACAATTTTATAGAAAAGAGTATTTGTGGCAAGTGTCTTGAGAATTCATTTATTTCCTGTGCAGCATATTCCACTATTGCCAGACTGACTATCCAGACTTATTTCAGGTGTAAAATTGTGATTAATGTATCAAGGCCGACGTTAGATGGGACATTGTGAATAACCATAGCCTTTGTTGATGTCTGTAGAGTAAATGCCACTGGTAGATTTCAATAGGGAAAATGTAATTTGGAAAATAAATTACTCGATGAGAAAACAAGTAAAAACGTTAGTGATAGTTAATTCGATGCATTCGATTAATTTGTTAATTCGATTAATTCGTTAATTCGACCGTTATTAATAAAACAACTGTGGCGTTAAATGATCTTCAGCAAAAACACTCACCTCTGACTACCTTCTGGATGTTCTGAGAATTGATTTTACAATTCAATTCAAATCTAAATATGCAATATAATTTACTGTAAAATCACACAAGTTGCAAACAGTTTTTTCTTGGTTGTTTTTTTTTTCACTCTGCATGTCCTCATGTCGCACAGTGTGTAGTTGGTAGTAGCACCAAAATCACAAACAGTAATTGTCTCTCTACTGGAATACAGATTGAACATGTTCAGCAAATCTCGTGTAAATGTTTCGCGCCAGTATGTAATCGTTAACCCCCAGCGACAGTCAACCAGTGTGCTAGGAACCGAGTTTTGTGCTCCAGTTATTTCAATTTAAATAACGAACGAGTCGAATAAAGCCTACTACTTATTACTTACATAATTGTTTAAAATATATTATTGTGGGAAAGTTGTGAAGTCATGTTTCGTTTACTTGACCTAAACTAATTAATCTGTTTATGGAGAGGAATGTTATAAAATTAACTATTTTGACACTCAAAATGACAATATCAAAATTATGTAATCTTTTAATTATGTATTTCCTTATTTTGAAGAATTAACCACAAGAAAAACAACTACATTTCGTAGTGAAAAGCATTTGTTCGATATACAAATATTATGGTTACGGATTATCTGAGCCGTGCCTATTTCTAGTGTAGAGTGGTACTTTGGATTTTTGATCGTCTTGCTTAATTGAATGATTAATATTTTATCAAAGTGTGTGGATTGTGAGTAAATGAGATACGAGAGTGATGTGTTTACATAATTAAGGGAAATTTCTATTATTCATCCTAGATGTTTATGACAGGTTAGAAATGGCGTAAAATTAATGTTTTTACTAAAAACAAACTGTAGGAATTACCTATATTAAACATTTTTAGTTTATTCGTTGTTACTTATGGAACAATGATAGTAATAAATATCTCACTTCGTGTGACACATTCAACTAACTCAACAAAAATGTAATTATTAACTCGAATTGAAATATAAACTAGTGGTGCAAAAACAGCATGTATTTTCTCACCCGTACTTTCAAGCAAAATTATGAGAAAAATTGCTTCTAACATTTTCGAGATGTTATACATGAATTTATTTCAGAACCAATCTTTCCGGAACAGATACCAGGGAAAAAATCTTTATCTTCATAATTATAGTTGTAGCAAGACGCGGGAAAAATGTTGAACTTTTGCAATTTTTGAAAATCAGTTTTCAACGAACATGACACACGCACCATTCTCTTAAACGTCCGCCATACTACCCAACAACACAATTTAATAAAGAACTATGGAGCCATTTGTTTTAAAATTTGGATATGACCCAGGGGATTCATTTAAAGTACCCTCCAAAATTAAAAAAATCTATTCCAAATTCAATGGGCCGCGACATCCGCCAGATCGATTGGGAAACATAATTTTTTTTAAAAAATTAGCTGAACGATTAAGACACACCTTCCGCATGAATCTGCGATATGGATACGTAAAAAGCAGAAGACCGATGGATCTTATAATTTATTGAAAATGTGAGACACAATGTCAGATTACGCTGAACGGTGATAACTAACCGTCATTACGTGTGGTAATGAATTTGCTGTTTAGAAATCAATAAACGATTTTCATGCGTCTTCGAAAATGTACTAAAGGAGTGAACTGCAACTTCAAGTCTAATTAGGAATCAAGTTCACGAGTAAGAGGAAACCACCAGAGGCGTGAAAAAGAGCAAATGTCAGGAAAGTGAATAATACATATGAATAGTGTAACTGCGTATGGAGCTTCCGGTAATTTTTATATTATGTGTAATAAAAAATATATTCATTTCAATACCAATTCCTAATCAACAGTTAGAAGATATTCAATGTCTCACATGCATAATGTGCAATGCATTCTAACTTCATTGCAAATGTCAGAATTATGCCGCTGTCCGCTTTTCATTTTCTCATAATTTTCATGAAGCGACCACAGGTACTGACGGCCATTTTCGTTCGAAACCTTCAGTGATTGCTTAAAATAGGATCTCTGTGTGCCGATATTGCAGAGTATCAATACATGCAATGGTTTGGTTTAGAATTAGTATCTCCTCTCGTACGCTACAAATCTGAGGATGCCGTCTGTCACAAGGGAAGAGCCTGGCCGAGATGCAAGGTCACGGGGTCGGGGAGGGTGGGACGCAGCGGGGGGCGGGGGGCGTCAGCATCCACTCAGAGTCCATAAAAAATTCATCAAGGTTTTAAATAAAACATGGCTAGCTCTCCGGCGCGCGATCTAAATAACAAAATACGTTACGGAAATCCTTTGTAGAATTCATCTGCATTAAAAGAGGAGCGCATTCGCGGCAATACGAGCTTTCTAAATTATAAGTTACTGAACTGGGCATTCTAGTTTATTCATTAGTAATATATTTATTGTGAATTAGTATTACTGAGTTTTGAGTTTACATTTTCGTATTTTTTGTCATGTCAACGTAAAATGTAACTAAATACTGTCGCTAGACACAAAACTTTGAAATATATATTTTTTTTTAATTAAAAATTCGGAATTGCTCTTACGTTCTAATCTTCAATTAAGTGTATAAAAAAGTGTGTAAAGGAAGAATTGTGTTTAGAAAAAACATATTTTTGATTTTCCGCTGCTTTCCAGCATAAACGTATCCAGTTTGGAAATTACTCTTATACCAGGTACAAATGTTACATTCATTTTAAGTGTAACATACAATAAAATAAAACGAACCAATTTTCCGAAAAAAATCCAATCCTCAACCCCAAAGATTGTTAAGATTTGCGCCCACAAAGACTTCCCACGATCGTCAAAAAACACAGGCATGAATATGCTGCTCTGTTCGATCTCCGCAATCAAATATAACATCCTTGAATTTATGCAAAACACGGTCTCATTATTACAAATAATATATAATCGCTCCATTGCTTTAACATGCGCAGTAACTTAAAACATGATCCGCTCAAAGACATTCGCTATATGCCTCGTTCGTTGGACGATCGTAGCTTTAAGTATTGAGCATTTACGTATTAACCCGAGAGAGACCAAGGCTGTCCCGAGCGGTGGCTTTGAAGCCACAATTTTGGATAGGCGTGCAATTTTGGATAGGCGTAGTAAGCTTTCATTCCCTGTCAAAAGACGCTCCGTCCATTTTTTTGTAAGGTTTTTCGATTTTTTCACTAGTCTTGTTCTCTCAATCACG